AGTTGGACTATTATAATAGCTTCCTATTTGTTTCCCTTCTTCTGGTCTCTCCCCACTCCAATCTGTCCTTCATGTGGCAATGTGAGTGATTTTCCTGAAGGTGGATCTGACCTTGTCTCTCTCTACTCAGTAAACCCCAGGAATTCCCTTCTCCCCTTTAGGGTCAATTATAAGGCCCTTTGTTTGACATTTAAAGCTCTTCATAACTGGTCCCTTCCTTCCCTTCCAGTCTTAAACTTGATTCTCTTCCTTACACTTTCTATATAATCTGGCCTATTTGCTGTTGCTAGAACATAGCATCCCACATCCCATTTCTCTGCATTTGAACAGTCTGTCCCAGGAGTTGAGAATGCTCTCGATCCTCACCCCCACCTCCCTGTTTTCTTTCAAGACTCAGCTCAAATCCTACCTTCTGCAGGAAGCCTTTCTCGGTGTGTCCCCTTCCCCTCCCCGGCTGCTGATGCCTCCACCTCCGAGATTACCTTCCATCTACTCTGCATGTCTTGACTGTACCTGGTTAGTTACAATGTTGCCTCTTTCATTAGAAGGTAAGTTCTTTGAGGGCAGGGCCTGGTTTTGCCTTTCTTTGTATGCCCTGCACCTAGCCCAGTTCCTGGCACATGGTAGGCATTTAACAAAAATTTGATCAACAACAACAAAAGACCACAGACTCTCTGAGTCTGAAATCCTGGTGCCCCAAGTTTTCTTGCCCCAAGATTTTTTTTTTGGTTTTTCTATGCGGATGAATTTTCCATGTAAATGAAGGAGAAAGGCAAAGGAGGAAACATCTTAGGTGAAGCAACTTCAAGGACAAAGTCTACTTCCATCTCTTTTCCTTCTAATGCCTGCCTTTATTGTGTGTATAATGCCAGGATTAGACCCTTTGAGCCCTACTCTCCACATGACACTTTACTGTGGCGTGCTGGTAAATATTTTAACAACTAGCTGTCTGGGGGGGAAAAATGTACCCATGATGCACATTTAGATTGAATTTGTGTTATTTTTTTTGGGTCAAGGAGGCGAGGCAATCAGGGTTAAGTGACTTGCCCAGGGTTGCACAGCTAGCAAGTGTCAAGTGTCTGAGGCTGGATTTGAACTCAGATCCTCCTGACTCCATGGCTGGTGCTCTATCCAATGCCCCATCTAACTGCCCCTTTAATTTGCATTAACATTTTCTCTATCACTTTCTTAAGTCTAGACAATCAAGAAAACATTAAACCAAGCCTAATTTATAGTCTTCGCCAATTTCCAAGATGGAAATGCTCACCCTGAAAATTTAACAATCCACTTGGTTCAACCTGGCTCCAGCACACTGTGACTTTTAAGACTTGAAGCATACTTTATATACATTATTTAATTTAAGCCTTTACATTAATCCTGTGAGTTAGATACTACAGATGTTATTCTTATTTTACAGATGAGGAAACAGGGGTGAAGTGTCTTGCCAGTGATTACCCAGCTCCTAAGTACAAGTGGCAGAATTGGAACCCAGGTCTTTCTGCCTCCATGTCTAGCACCATCTTCTATGGCAGGGGTTCTTTATCTTGTTTGTATCGCAAACCCCTTTGTGTGGGGAACCTTTCTGAGTCTATGGAAACTAGATGAGCTTTTCTCAGAAAAATGTTTTGAAGTGCATAAAATAAAATATGTAGGATTACAAAGGAAACCAATTATGCTGAAATTAGTTATAGAAATGTTTTAAAAAGAAACAGACCAAGGTCTAACATTCCAGGTCCCACCTATGGCATAATGCCTCTTGAGGGTGACTTCATTCAGGAAAGTCGAGGAGAGTTCATTCAGCACAGTTAAATCTTCAGCATGGTTGTAGGCTGAGGAGAAGGAAGCAGTATTGAGGAAGACATTGAATGGGCACAGGACAGGAGATGATTGAGGCAACAAGGCCACAGAGGAAACTGGAGGAATGGGGTAAAGGTGGAAAGGTTAGAGCTAGGGAGGGTGGATAGGGAAAGGAAGGGAAGAGACTGAATCCCAGAGTGGTTCAATGACATCCTCTAAATTTTCTGCCCTGGGACAAAGTTCTAGTGTCACCACCCTAGTAATGTCCTAGCCTGCCAGTGATCACCCAGCTTTTATTTGGACAACCTTCCCTGAGGGGAAACCTATTGCTTCCTGAGGCTGCCCATCCCACTTTGGGCAACCCTAGTGGTTAGAAAGTTTTTCCTAACATCAGGTCAAGTCAGCGAGCATTTGTTATTAAGGGCTTACTATGTGCCAGGCACTTTATTGAGCACTGGGGATACAAAGAAAGGTAAAGGACAGTCTCTGTTCTCAAGGAGCTCTCAATCTAATGGGGAGACCACATGCAAATAACCATGCCCAAACAAGCTGCATGCATGAGAAATTGGAGTTAATCAACAGTGGGAAGGCATAAGCATGAAAGGACAATAGGAAAGGCTTCTCATAAAAGGTGGAATTTTAGCTGGAATTCAAAGGAAGCCAGGAAAGCCAGAAGGTAAAAATGAGGATGTGAGAATTCTAGGCATGGGAAACTGTTGAGGTTCAGGGAATCATATATGTTGAGGTTTAGAGATTTAGGGGTACTGACACGTGGGTTCTGCCCGAATGAATTTGACCCAAGCCTTCTTTCAGCCAAAGATAAAGTTTATTGCAGACCCGCCACATTGGCCAGACTCTTAAGGAATCTGAATATTTGTGAACTATTGGCTAGATTCTAAGAATTTGAGCCCTTGGCTAGACTCTTTATAGAATCTGAGCACCTTAATGGAGACCAGATGGACCTTATATATAGAAAGACTGTGGGAGGGATCTAGGAGTGGCCAAGTAATTTGGGGTGACTGGAAGAGAGGTCTGGGAAGAGGGGTCTAGGGAGGATCTTGATGGGAGTGGTCAGTAGGCTGGGGTGACAGGAGGAGGAGGGGTCTAAGGAAAATCTTGATGGGAGTGATGGGGAGGTGGAGAATGGGGTCTAGATATGATCAAGGGTGGGAAGTGAGGGGGGTTTGAAAGGAGGTGATAGTCAATGAAGGGCTGGGCTAGGTTAAGGATAACAGAGAATTGGGAAATTGGCATAGGTGACAAGGAAAGGCCAGTTGAGAGGATTATAGCCTTAGGTGACCACTAGAGACTTCCTTGATCAAGTAGGAGTTATAGGAGAGTCCAAGGTGGGGTTTTTCTAGGGCCATAGACAAATGGCACCTAAAATCTTTTTGGGGTAAGGGGCAAAGGTCTCAAGCCCGTACCCTGTCAGAACTGCCAGTGAGAATACCTAAGTTGGGAACAACAAGGAAGCTATTAGCCCTGGATCACAGAGTATTTGGGAAGTGCAGTAAGGTGTAAGAAGAATGCAAAAGTAGAGGGGCCAGATGACAAAGGGCTTTGAATGTCAAATAGGATTGGATGTTTGATCCTGGAGGTGATGGGGAACCTCTGGAGTTTATTGAATGGGGGTGGGGTGACATGGTCAGACCTGCACTTTGGGAAGATTGCTTTGGTGGCTGAGTGGAGCAATGGACTGGAGTGGAAAGTCTTTTGGCAGCTGAACCAATCAAAGGCTTTTGTAGTAGCCCAGGTGTGAGGTGATGAGGGAATGTGCCAGGGTAGTGGCTGTGTCAGGTGAGGGAAAGGTCAAATTGACGGGATTTGACAACAAATTAGAAATAGGGGGTGAGAGATCCTTTGAGGATGACATCTAAATTATGAACCTGGATACCTGAGGGGATGGCAGTATGCTCTAGAGTGAAAAGAAAGGAAGGAAGAGGGTTTGGAGGTGGTGGTGTAGATAATGAGTTCAGTTTTGAACGTGTTAAGTCCAAGATGTCATTGGGATGTATCCAGATCAAGAGGTCCAAGCATTGGAGATGCCAGCCTGGAAGTTGAGAGGTCAGGGCTGGATAAACTAATCTGAGAATCATCAGCATCGAGATGATAATTGAACCAAGGGAGCTGATGAGATCACCCATTGAAATAGTATAGAGGGAAAAGAGAAGAGGGCCCAGGACAGAGCCCTGTGGGACACCTACCATTAGCAGTGACTTGATGAAGATCTAGTGAAAGAAACTGAGAAGGACTGGTCAGATAAGTAGAATAACCAGGATAGAGATAACAACACAAAAAGCTAGAAGACAGAATCAAGGAGAAGGTGATCTTGCCAGTGTCAGAGGCTGCAGAGAGGCCAAGAAAGATGAGGATTGAGAAAAGGCTATTAGATCTGGCAATTCATATGATCAGTGGTAACTTTGGAAAGAGCAATTTCGGTTGAATGTTGAGGTCAGAAGTCATAATGTAGAGCTTTGAGAAGTGAGAGAAAACAAAATGGGAGCGCCTACTACAGACAGGCTTCTCAAGGAATTTAGCCATGAAAAGGAGAGATAGGCGATGATCCCTAGTGCGGATGCCCTATTTGGTAATTTAGGCGATGATCCCTAGTGCGGATGCCCTATTTGGTAATTACCTTTTCTTCTGAGGCTTGGCTTAACTCTTTGCATTGTTTTGATGCATTTGTCCTATAACATCGTTTGTTTTAGTTATTTCTGTGACATGTTGTGCTATTTCTGCTGTAGCCTTGGCTGTCCGTACTGTCTTAGCAAAGAGCAGGACGTGTTTCAGGGCACTTGGTGTGTTAGCCTTTATATGATCATGAAGTTGATGAAGGCCAGAGACTGGGTTTTATCTGAATTTTATGTATTTCTTGACGCTTTGCTCTGTGCCCTGCACACATTAGGTGCTTATTAATCAGTCAATAAGCCATTTATTTAGCACCTACTATATGCTAGGTACTTTGACAGGTTCTGGGGATACTAAGAGAAAAGTAAAACTGTCTTTGCTTTCTAAGTGTTGACACTTTATCAGGGGACACAACACGGACATATGTAAGTATACACACGGACACATGTCAGCATATACATGGATATATATAAGTATACACATGGACATGTAAGTATACACAATAAACATTTGCTGAATTGAATTATTTCCCTGGTTGACTCTCCATCTGTCTGTGTCTGCTCCCTGGCTCCCAGCAAGGTGGAGGCTGTTGCCATGGAGAAGGAGCTCATTGAAGACTATCGGTTTGGGCGGCAGCAGCTGGCAGAGATGTGTGGGTATGCTTGTGCTGTGGCTGTGACCAAGGTAAAGTCCTTGCCTATGCCTTCCTCCTTCCCCCTGGAACCTCAAAGGGTTCATACTCTTGGGTCATGGGGTAGCTTCCCCCTTTCTATCAGTTCTTGGCCAGGTTCTGCCTTCTGATTGGGAGGTGATAGCCATGGTTTGGGGATCCCAGGCCTAGGAGACACTATCTTATCTTTCAGGGTTTCCCCCTCCCTAATGGGGCCCTGTGTGGACCCATGTCCTCTTTAACCACCTCCTGTTCTTCCCAGGGTAGGTCCTTAAAATAACCTCCTTTCCTTTCCCCACTACAAAAGCTTTAGGTTGAGAAGACTAAGGCCCTTCTGCTCTGGAGCATCCACTGCCTTCTTTCCACCCAGCAGGAGCTCCTGGAGTCAGAAGAGCCAAGGATAGGCCTGGTCAGAGGGAGTGGGGCAATGAGGAGAGGTTGAAAAACTGCTTCCTCTTCAGGCAGGAGAGGGCCTGGCTAGGTGGGGACATGGCTAAGACTGAGGGCTATGCTAGCAGGAAGGTTCACAAGGAACCAGGAGCTTTCCCTCTAAAACCTGAGCATATGAAAGCTGTGTCCAGAAGGGGTTGAAGGAGGAGTACTCAGTCACAACTAGGGGAGTCCCACATCTTTTGGCAGGGAGCACAAGAGTCAGAAGGGGCCTGGCCCTGACCTGGGAACCAGAAGATGTGGGTTCTAATCCTGCCTTTGCTACAGGCTTGCTATATGACCACGAGGAAATAATTTCTTCCTTCTGTACCTTGATTTTCTCCACAAAACTCTATGATCTATAAGGTCTCTTTAAGCCCTGACATTCTGTGTTCTAAGTTCCCTCTCAGGTCTGACATTCTGTGTTCTAAGGGCCCTCCCAGCTCTGACATTCTGTGTTCTAAGTTCCCTCCCAGCTCTGACATTCTCTGCTCTAAGGTCTCTCCCAGTTCTGACATTCTGTGATCTAAGGTCCCTCCCAGCTCTGACATTCTGTTCTAAGTTCCCTCCCAGCTCTGACATTCTGTTCTAGGTTCCCTCCCAGCTCTGACATTCTGTGTTCTAAGGGCCCTATCGGTTCTGACATCCTGTGTTCTAAGTTCCCTCCCAGCTCTGACATTCTGTGTTCTAAGTTCCCTCCCAGCTCTGACATTCTGTGTTCTAAGGGCCCTCTCGGTTCTGACATTCTGTGTTCTAAGGGCCCTCCTAGCTCTGACATTCTGTGTTCTAAGGTCCCTCCCAGCTCTGACATTCTGTTCTAAGTTCTCTCCTAGCTCTGACATTCTGTGTTCTATTCTGTTCTAGTATATTCTAATGACTTTTGCACCTTGCCCATGTTCTAAGGGAAGAGCGTGTCCAACAGCCTGTTCTGATTGCGTTTACCAGCTACACAGGCTTTCGGGTGCCAGACTCCTTGATTGATGGCCCTTGGGTATGGAAAAAAGACCAGATTCCACAAGGCCCGGCAAACAAGCTTAAGATAAATAAACGTTCACTGAGGCTTGAATTGAAAAGGCAAGGCCTGTTCCTTTTGTGGCTTGGCAGGAGGCCCTTACCCACAGCTAGGAGAGAATAATAGCATGGGCGTACACAGTAAGTGTGGTTAGGAATAGGCCACCCCTCACCATGCCCTGGGGTTCCTGGGTATAAGCAGAGCATCAGTTGCCGTGAGGGATGGGTTAGGGGTGGATAGGTACTTAGGTCCTTCATCTCCAGGCTGTCCCCCCATGTCAGGGAGGAAGCTGCTTTTGGATGTGGCTAGAGGAGTGTTAGGAAAGCCTCTACCCAAGAGTGTCTCCTCCTTCGGACTACAGGGATTAACATCTGTCTCTGAAAGTTCCCTGTGAGGAGGCACTGCTATTCCTTGGAGGGGACCTTAGCAACTCCCTTTTCCCTTCTCTGTTCCTCTCCTCTCCCCCCATCTCCAACTTGGATTACAAACTCATAGAATGTCAGAGTTAGAAGGAACTGGCTTGAGATCATAGAATGCCAGAGTTGGAAAGGCTCTTCGAGTAACTAGTAATAATAGTCTGTATAGCATTTTAAGGTTGGCAAAATACTATACACACATATAAATAAAACAGCTAGGGACTGTTATTATCCCCATTTTACATATGACAAACTGAGGCTTTGAGTGCTCATATGACTTATCCAAGATTTCTCAGCCAGGAAGTATTGGAGACTAGAGTTGAGCCCAGGTCTCAGGGTCAGAGAACCTGGGGTTGAGTCCCAGCTCTGATACTTACTGGTTATTTGACCTTGGGTGAGTCACTTCCCTGTTCTGGGCCTCAGTTTCCCTATCTATAAAATCCTAGGTGACCTCTGAAGCTCTTCCCAGCTCTACCATTCTATAATCCAAGCAGCCATGCACCCCATGGAAGTTCAAGGATGATGATGGTGATAGCAATAATTAATAATAATCATAATAATATTAGTTCAAATAGGATTTGAAACTGAGGAGAGCCAATGGCATCTCTAAGTCCCATCTCTCCCTAAGTAGATGGGGAAACTGAGATCCAGAGTGGGAAATGATTTGTCCAAGGTCACATAGACAGTTAATGTCAGAGCCAGAAATGGAACCCAACTCTCCTAGCTCTTGGTCATGAGTTGACCTGAGGAAGGGTTCTAGAGTGACTGTTTTCCCCACCTGACTGCCCTAAGGTTTCCCTTCTTTCTGTCCCTGGCCCTCCATGCCTTGCTTCTCCCCATTGTACAGATGGAGAGAGTGAGTCCCAGAGATCATAGAATCATAGATTAAAACCAGAAGGACCTACGAGGTGAATGGGTCTAGTTCCTTCATTTTGTAGGTGAGGAGACAGAGGCCCAGAGAGGTTATGACCTGCCATACATCACACAGCCAGGCAGTGTCTAAAGCAGAATTTGGACCACTGCCATATTCACACCACCATGCTTCCTTAGGTGACTCTTTCAGAGTCATACAGCAGGGTAGCAATAAAAGCAAAGCTAGAACCTGGGTCTCCAGGCATTTCCTCAGTTCCTCCTGTCCTAGGACTGTGATTCATAAACATGGTCCTGAGAACTGGGGAGGAGTACAGCAAACTCGGGATGGACTGCTGTTGGACACAAAGACATCTTTGAAGGGGTGGGATGTTTGGGCATGGATCTACTTCCTAAAGATCTCCTGAGAAATAGGATAGCTGTCCCCAGGGGGACACAGGGAAGTACAGATGCTACCTCACTGGGTGACCTTGAGAGAGTGTCCTCCTTTCTATGGACCTCAGTTTCCTCCATCTGTACAATGGAGAAGGTGAAGGGAGGCAGGCAAGCATGAAAGGTTGGGGAAGAGAGGAGGACTGTGGGTCCCTGAAGGTTCATCAGTACTCTGTCACCCCTTCTCCAGGTGTTTCCTGTGGCAGCCTTTCCCGGAAGCAACGTACCGTACTGGTAGTGTGTGGACCTGAGCAGAATGGGGCCATCGGACTGGTGTGTGCTCGACATCTTCGAGTATTCGTAGGTATCAGTGCTGCTGGGAAACTTCCTTAGGGCCCCCAACGTTATTTCCCTGGGAATTCCTATGACCACCTGGTGTCATCTTGTCGGGGCCCATTCGGAACCTTCCAATCATCCCCCCAGAGGTCCCCTTTAAAACTCCCCCTCCCCTTATTCCTTGTGACTCTCCTAGGAATGGCACAAGTCTGGGAGGGCTAGGCATACATTAGATGATAGAGTCCAAAGAGGTCTTGATGTGGGAGAACAATGGGCCAAATGCAAGATAAATGTAAAATTCTACACTCAGGTTCAAAGAATCAATTTCACAAGCATAGGATGCAGGAGGCCGGACTACAACACAGATTCTTTGGGAAAAGCCTTACAAATGACAGTAGGCGGTGACCTCGATACGAGTCGACAATGTAATATGGTGGCCCCCAAACCTAAAACTAATGTAGAGAGCAGCGTGGTATCCAGAATTAGGGAGGCGAGAGTCTTGTCGTGCTCTGCCTTGGCCAGACATCTGGAATATTATGTTCAATTCTGGCTGTTGACTTTTAGAGAAAATATTGATGAACTGGAACACATCCTGAAGAGGGAGTGATGAGGGCCGCACCGTAAAAGGATCAGATGAAGGAGCTGGGAATGCTGAGTAAAGAGAAGAGGAGGCGGGGAGAACCTGAGAGATGGCTTCAAGGGTGGGAAGGGTGGTCTTGTGGAGGAAGCTTTGTTCAGCTTGGCCCTGGGGGATCAAACAAAGGGCCAAGGGAGGAAGTTACAAAGAGGCAGAGACATAAAGCAAAACTTTTTTTTTTTTTTGTGAGGCAGTTGGGGTTAAGTGCCTTGCCCAGAGTCACACAGCTAGTGACTGTTATGTGTCTGAGGTCAGATTTGAACTCGGGTCCTCCTGACTCCAGGGCCGGTGCTCTATCCACCGTGCCACCTAGCTGCCCCCATAAAGCAAAACTTTTAACAGAGCTGTCCAAAAGTCTGCTGTGAAAGGTGGTGAGTTCTCTGCCCCTGGATCTCTTTGGGCTGAGGCTTGATGACCGGTTTTGGGGAGATGCCTTTTAAGGTGGTGGTTGAGCTAGAGGATGTCTGAGGGTCCTTCTGACACTTAACCGGCTGTAATTCCCCAGTGTCACATCCTGTGGACCCACCCTCCCTATTTACACACTAGCCTCCTCTGCCCTTCCTAGAGTCCCTGCCAAGTGTGGGGATGACGCAGAGGGCCTGTGGTCAGCTCCCTAACCTCCAGATTCTCCTCAGGGGCTTGACTCCCCTCGCCTTCTCCCCTCAGGAGTACGAGCCAACCATCTTCTACCCCAAACGCTCTTCAGACTCGCTGTCCAAGGACTTCACCACACAGTGTGAGAAGATGGACATCCCCTTTCTTTCCTACCTCCCTACCGAGGTCAGTCCTCAGGTGGTCCCTGCTGAGGGGCAGGACAAGGAGTGGTCTTCCTTGGTAGGCCCTTAGAAAAGCTGCCTGGTCCTTAGGGGGCCTGTGCTTTCGGTATGACTGCTCTGGAGGTGGGCTGAGGTGGGAGGGGCTGGTTCAAGCTGGGCAACGATCTCACCCGATTTGGGTAGAGGAGTATGGGGGGTGTCTCCCTGCCTGTTCCCAGCCTATGGTGGGGGTGTGAGGATGGCTCAGCAGGCCAGGGTCAGCTTTCCAGTCCCCCTCCATTCTAGGCCAGAATCCAGGACAGAGGGAGGGGAAGATGTACACTTCATCCATCATCTATGACATGCCACACGGGCCCCAGGGCGGGGGGAGGACAGTGCTCTCCGGGGCCCTGGGCTGCAGTCTCAGTGGTGACGACTGGGAAAGGCATTACTGAATCACATTTCCTCTCTGCGTTCCTCTGGCGGCCTCTGGCATGTGACCTCAGAGCACCGGCCACCTCAGGGGCACAGACACCCACAGCCACGCCTGGCGCCCACCACAGACAGGAGGGGGATGGCAGGACAGGGCATGACAGAGGGAGGGCCAGACACCATGGGATGGCTGGAGAAGCCTTGAGGATATGCTAAGCTGGCCTATTCCTGAGGGTCTCCTCCCATCCCTGTCCCCTGGGAACCTCCTCAGCTACCTTTCAGTGATGGACTGACTTCCTAGGGTGGCAGGCCAGAGGGGAGATGGCTCCTTGTGGTACTTCTTGATCGCTGGAGGTGTAGGAAACCACCCTGTGAGTGTCAGCTGGGTGGGAATTCTTCAGTGGGCAGGGGCCACTTTAACTTGCCTGGATCCTGTTAGGATCACCCATCCCTGAGGCGGAAAAGCTGACCCCCCCACTCTGGGATGGGAGGCCCTAACAACATGCAGGCAGCTTCCAGTGGTCCCTGCCCCAGAGGGGAGGGCGGCTTCCTACTCTCACCCCCTTCCCACTTCTCCATATGACTGGGGCCTGGTTACTCTTGGTTCTCACCCCAGCCTTCTGTGAATTCCTGACTGTTTCCTTTCTCTGAGTTTATGAGTTTGCCCATCTTTGTGGAATCACTGAACTTTGCTGAAGAGGTGGGGTCTAGGAGGAACTGGTGGGTTCTCCCAACTTTCCTTTCTGGGATTGAGAGGGTAGATTGGGTGTGCACAGGGTTTGCTAGGTGGTTTTTTTTTTTGATGGGGGTGAAAGGAGTGGAGGCATAATTTTATATATGAGGGTGTCTCTATTTACAAATGCAGAGATTTGCACACATGGAGGGGTGGGGTGAATACGGGGGGATATGCATTCTTGGAGGTAGACTGGCATTCAGATGGTGGAGGTACACATGCATGTTTGTGATATGTAAGCATGTGTGCACAGCTGTGTGTGAGCTGGCAATCTCATCAGTGCACATGTAGGGGCAGGCAGACGCTCTGGGAAGTGGAGAGAAAGAGGAACCCAGGTGTGGCCCTTGTCTAGCTCCTTCCTTCTCTTCGCTCCCCAAGGGGCCAGAGCCCTTGGGGGCAGTCTAGGGAGAGAGGGACCAAAGAAGAAGGACCTGTAGCCATTAGGACATATACTCCCCATAATAGTACAGGGATTATGAGTTTCTCCTTTCCATGGATGCTAGATACATCATCCCTATTCTCCTTCTTTCCCTGGGCTGGGGAAAATCTACCTTGGTTTGACCACCCCGTCCTGCAGGTCCAGCTGATCAATGATGCCTACAGCCTGGTGATTGATGCCATCCTGGGGCCTGGTGCAGAGCCTGGGGAGGCCAAGGAGCCATGCACCAGCATCCTCACCACCCTGAAGCTGGTCAAGATCCCCATTGTCAGCCTGGACATCCCCTCAGGCAAGGACTTGCAGGGGACAGATCCCAGAACTATGGTGTCATGGGCATCAGTAGGCAATGGCTAGGAGTGTGTGTGTGTGTTTGTGTGTGGTGAGAGATGGAAATTGGGTAGGTAGACCATAGAGGAGCTTAATACACTGGGCCTGGCTCTAGGTTGAAGCTCTGTCCCGGGCTAAGCCCTGACCCCAGCCTTCTGCCGAGCTGTGGCTCTGGTAGGGGATGGCTATGTGAGGATATGTGTGAAAGCTCTCTGAGGGGCCCAGCTGTAGACACTCCTGTGCTTCAGGCTGGTGCTAACCCTCTTGGCATCCCTCAAGCAGAGGTAGAGGGAGGGGAAGATGACATCCGCCCCCTGCAGGTGCCCAGGCCCAAAAGGATAAACACGTGCCCGCCCGCTAGTGGGCCTCGGCTGGCCCGGCTCAACCAGGAGACATGATGTAACTGAGCAAACACCCTGCTGGCCGGGCTGCCGCCTCGGCCCCGTCTGCTAGAGCCATTAGGCAGGAATCTAGTAAGGGGGAGAACAAACAGCCCCTGTCCCAGATGGAAAGGGGAAAATTCCCACCAGGATAAATGTACCAAGAGGCCAGGGCTAGAGCAGGCCAGGCAGTGCCCATGGCGTATGTGTGGGAGGGGACCCATCTTGTCTCCCTTCCCCACTCCATGGTCTTTCCTTTGGCACTGAGCTATCACTCAGGAGTAGAGAAGATGGACCACAGAGATGTCATGAACATGAGCTGGTGGTCAGACCTCATGAGGCACTTCCTAATGAAGAAAGGGACTATTTTGTGTTGCCCAGAGAGACTGCAAGGCTTCTTCCCTAGGGATTCCTAAAGGTGAAATGGGAGTGAAAAGAGCTGGGTCCTAGTCCTGGAGGCATCATGGTAGAATGTAAAGAGTGCTTGCTGTATATGGACTCAGAGGATTCAGGTTCAAATCCTGACTCTTCCGATGACCACCTGTATGATCTTGGGTGAGCCATCGGCTCTTCTTGCTCAGTTTTCTCAACTTTAAAATGAGGAAATTGGGCCCAAGGATTTCTGAGGTTCCTTCTGTCTCTAAATCCATGACCCTGTGATTCTCTGCCACTGATTTTGGTGACTTTGAGCAAGCCACCTCTCTTTTCTGGGCCTCAGTTTCCCCATGATCTCTATAGGATCTCCAAGTCCCTTCCAGCTCTGACAGTCTATAAGATGTCTACTCCCCAACCCCTCAGAGAACATGATGGAATATGTCCTGGGTGCAGACTCCCTACTAGAGTCCAATGAGCCCCTTTTCAGCCTGTGATGCCCTGTACCTTCTAGGGGAATAGCTCTCTTAATCTTGTACTAATCTGTGCATGTGTCAATGGTGGGAGGCCAGAACAGAGCCTAGGGCCCCTTCTCCATCTAGAGAAAGAGCCAGTCATTTAATCTCTTTGAGCCTCAGTCTCTTCATTTGTAAAATGGGGATAGTAATGTTGATGGTACCTACTTCATAGAGATGTTGTGAGGTTCAAATGACAGTATGTGGGCGAAGCGTTTTGCAGACTTTAAAGTGATATATGTATATATGTGAGTGTGTATCTGTCTGTCTATCTATCTATCTATCTATCTATCTATCTATCTATCTATCTATCTATCTATCTTTCCATGTCAGTGATTATTAGGAGGTGCAGCCTCCCTGGGACTTTTCTAAGACTGCCTCTGGCTTAGGGGCCAGCCCTTTTAATGCTTCTAATGTGAGGCAGGCTAAGACCAGGTCAGGAGGGGAGGGCTGCAGGGAGCAAGCCCAGAAAGGGAGGCTTGGGGGCAGGTAGAACCATTAAGGACCCCTCACATTCCACCATCTCCGTGCAATCCAAGACATACTTCCTCTGTTGCCTCCATCAGAGGGAACAGCACCAAGAATTGTGTTGGAATCTGGAGCCCAACCAGTGGGGGTTTTGTTTTCATACAGTATTTTATTTTATTTTATTTTAAAATTGTTGTTTATTATACCACTATCCTTTCCAAATACTACCCCCACTACCAGCTGCTTCGCAACAAAGAAAAACTATTAAGCGAGAAAAACTGACCCAGAGACTGCAACAGTTTGAACCTATAGCCCCAGACTTCTTGATGAGAAAAGCCATGTCTAACCAGTTGCTTTTCTTAAATTTTAAAGTGCTTTATTCATAATATTTTCTTTGTAAAAATCACTCTCAATGCCCAGTGACTCTTTGTTCCCCTGCAGAACTCCTCTCATTTAACACATACACACACATACACATACACACACACAAACAGACATATACCTATATATGTTTTCAAAGTGTTTTATATACATGATCTCATTTGATTCAGCTCGGGGACATCGTGAGATATGGGCTCTGATCAGCCTTTTACAAATGAGGAAACTGAGACTTCAGGCTATTAAGTGGCTTGTCCAGTGTCAAATAGCTAATAAGTGTCTGACCCCAACTGCAATTCTCTGTCCACTAGCAAAATAAACCAATACCTTGGCCATGTCTGGAAATGTATGTTTCTTTCTGTCCCAGTAGTTTCTTACCTCTTTGCCAAGAGGCAGAAAATACACTTCTCTATTAGTCCTTTGAAGCCACAGTTGGTCATTCTATTGATCAGAGTACTTTCTAAGTTGTTTTCCTTTACATTATTGGGGGTCACTGTGTAAATTGTTCTCCTGGTTCTGATTACTTCACTCTGTATCAGTTCATACAAGTCTTCTCAAGTTTCTCTGAATTCTTTTTTTTTCTTACAGTGCAGTAATTATCCGTTATATTCATATACCACAGTTTGTTCAGCCAGTTTCCCATTGATGGGTACCCACTTTTCTTTTAGTTCTTTGCTATTACAAAATGTGCTGTTATGAAAATTGCATATATGGGCCTTTCCTCTCTGCTTTTGACTTCCTTGAAGTCTATGCCTCTTGGCAGTAATGTTGTGTCAGGGGGTATGCAGAGCTTAGTGATATTAAAAACAAAGTATAATTCCAAATTGTTTTCCAGAATCTCCCATTTGTTTCTAGGTGAGGCTTATCTGGAAAAAGCTGGACCTTGAAGGTGTCCTATGGTGCTAGGAGATCCTTCTCAGTGAGTGATGGTCTTGAAGCCTTGGTTGACCCAGGAAACCTTTTTTTTTTTAAAGGATTTTAGAATGTCAGAGCCGAAATGCACCTTAGTTGGGGACCTCTTCTCCAATCCCCTTATCTGACAGATGGGGAGACTGAGGCCCCAGAGAAGGGAAATGATTTGCCCAAGGGCATAGAGCTGACCAGTGGTTAACTGAGACTAAAAATCTAGGTCACTTGATTCTCAAGCTAGGCTTCCTCTGTATAGCCTACTGAACTCTCTGGTGTAGGTGGGAGCCTCTGGGGAGCTGGGGTGGGGTTTGTCAAGCCTTGGAACAACTCATCTCTCTTCCCCTTTGCTCTTTCCTCCTGAAACAGGATGGGACGTGGAGATGGGCAGTGAAGATGGCATCAGCCCCGAGGTGCTGGTGTCCCTGGCTGCCCCCAAGAAATGTGCTGGTCGGTTTTCAGGGAAGTACCACTTTGTGGCGGGACGCTTTGTCCCTGATGACGTGCAGAAGAAATTTCACCTGAATCTGCCTGGCTACCCGGGCACAGAGTGTGTGGTGGCTCTTTAATGAGCCTGGGGAGCAAAGGGAATCCTTGGGCCTCTCCCACTCCCTAAAAAAATAAACATTAATCATTTCAGACCCATCATACTTCAAGGGAATCTTTCTTGCCCAAGAGGACACCTGAGGGATAGAACAAGATGGATTAGGACACAAAGAAAGACCTTCTGAATGCAAAGACTCTTTGGAATTGGCTTGGGGTTGCCCTGAGATGGACAGGGTCATAAAGAACCCAGGTTGCTTTGGTAGCTCAGAAGTAGGTGGTTAGTGAATATACGGACCATTTTCTCATTCCCAGGAGAAGGCTGGACTGAAGGGAGAACTATATCCTTGCCCCTCCCCAGCTAGGATAGAGCTGAAAGAGAGTGGGTCAGATATACCTTATAAGGCCAGGTTGATAATTATCTGGAAGCCATGGCTAAAGCATTCAAAGGAGATGATCCTCTAATGTGCTTGCGAGCGCACACACACACACACACACACACACACACACACACACACACACACACATGGCAAAAAAAAAAGAAAAAAAAGCTACCTTTGCTGGAGTCAGAAGGCTGCTCCAACTGCCTAGTCCCTCCCCACCAGCCCCCCACTGACATATGGCCCTGTGGCTCAGAGCTCCTGGACAGTTCTGGAAGCTTCGAAGCTGAGCAGGAGAAGAGCAGAGGTGTCTTGTGTACAGGGTCCTGCCCTCCTATATAAGAGCCTTCCATCCTCTAGTGTTTCCAGGTTCCCAAAGTGATTTGCTCACAATTCTGGAATTTAGTGCAATAATTATGATCTCCATTTTACACATGAGTGAGAGAAGGGAATGACTTGCCCTGGGTCAGTGGAAGAGCCTGGAGGCTGCCTGGAGAACTCCCCAGGCCACATATTTTAGGGCAGCTCCCCTTATTTCCAAGGAGGAACTCTTTCACTCTCCTTTATCCCTGCTAAAAGTGTTAAGTTGCACGTATTTGACACAGTGTAAAAGGGCTCTCTCCTTACAACAAGCCATCCTGCAATGCCTTTGGCCCAGTCCTATGACTTCTCTGTAGGAAACTCCCAGTGTGGAACTTCCATCCACAGGTACAGATTGGCAATTGTCTGTGATTTACTGTCTTTGAGGGCTTGTCCACACTCACACAGCTTACTGGCATGTTATCCGAGGCAGGAGTTTAATCCAGGTCTTCCTGAGCTAAGGCCTGCTCAATAGCCAATACACCTCTGGACTTTCACAAAGGCTCCACAGCTCTGAGAAGCCCCTTGAGCTAAAGTGCTGCTGTATCCTGGGAGAAGGAGTCTAGAAACCTGCTCCCCAGGGCTGTCCCCGCCCCCGACCACCAAACATAGGCAGTGCAAGGATTATTATCCCTATTTTACAGATGAGCAAAGAAGGATGGAGGTGAGGGATGGAGCTAGCACTTGAGTTGGGGGTCTGAAGGACTGGGTTCAAAGCCTAGTTCAGCTTTTTAATGACTTGTGTAACACTGGGAACTAATTCGGTCTCTATATGAGCCCCTTTTCACTCATATGAAAAATGGGGGTGGGTGGTGGGTGGGTCTTCGGTCTTTGAGGCCCTTTCGGCTCAAAATCAATGATTCTTTTTGAAATGACTTCCTCACAAGCACCAAGTTACAAAGTGTTGGAGCGGGCCTGGAACCCAAGTCCGGTGCTTTCCCTCTACGCTCCTTGTCTCACCAAGCCACCTGCAGGGTGAGACATTCTCTGGGAGAGCCTCGAGAGGATGCGTCCGGAGACAAGGCGGCTCTGTGCCCCAAAGTTTCTTTCTTGCTCTTGGGGGAAAGAGCCAAACAGGAGAGGGCCACCAAGCCAGGGCAGATGTGGGTGTGGGACGTGGAAGAACAGCTGCAACTTTCCTCAGCCTACAGTACCACCTCTTTTCCATCCCAACCTACCAGCTGATGCTGAGAGCCCCCGCCTCGCTACGGAGAGGCTGCGGCAGAGGTGGGGCGCGCTCATCTCGCACCCGCCCAGAGAGGCTCGGCCAGGGTTTGGGGCCACACAGCCAGCTGGAGTGGGGAGTGGGCAGTAGCCCCCTGGGCTAGGGCAGGGCCAGGCAGAAAGCCGAGGTCATAAGCTCTTTAGCCTCTCCAGATTCTCACTCTGCCATCACCCGTGGTGAGGACTAGAAGGTGTCCGAGCCGTGAAACTTCTGAAATGAACAACTTTGTTTGAAAAAAGGAAAAAAAAAACACCCACATCCCAGAGCCACCCTAACGTGGGGGGGGGGGCAGAATTGGGGCGGGGCTAGCGGGCGGGGGAGCAGGGAAAAGCGCGCAACTGCCCGGGCGCAGCCAGAGGTTCCCAGGTCTCAGCCAGAGGTTCCCAGGGTACCGTGGCGCGCGGCGGAGCACAGCAGCGAGAGGAGAGGAAAGGCGAGGAGCTGCCGCGGGTCGGGTACCGCCTGGAAGCGCACCCAGCTACCCCCGACGGAAAGCCCGATCCGGGCCATGGCGGCTTTCCTGCCGCTGCTGTGTCTGTGCCTCGCCGCCGCCCAGCTGGCGGGAGCCCCAGGTGAGAGAGCCGCTTCAGCCCCATCCCGTGCCCCTACCCGTGCCCCCTGGCCTTGGTCCTGTCCAGGAGGACGCTTGCCGCGCACAATCTATGCGCCAAGCGGCTGGGCCCCGGGACGGGGCTGGGACTGGGGTAAACGGGTAAGCGGGCCCGAATCCCGCTGGCTCGGACCTTCTGCCTCGGGCCTACTTTGGCGCTCCCCTCAGCGCCCCCCCCCAAGTTTTTCCATGCACCTCTCCCACTGCTTCTCCCGAGCTGCTTCTGAAATCCCTGCTCCTGCTCCTGCTCCTCGCTCCCAGGTGCCCAGCTGTCTGTGCTCCCTAGGATCATGACATCTAGAGCTACTCCCTAACCCTTTCATTTGACAGTTGAGGAAACCGAAGCCCAGAATAGATAACCTCTATCCCTGCCCCCGCCCTCCTCCTTTTACCTTTTACCTTCTGACCAGGAAGATGAAGTGTGGTGTGTATGTGTGTGTGTGTGTGTGCGCGTGTGTGTGGGGGGATGGTGGCGGGGAGGATAGAAAGTGGGGGAAGGGGCTGAGTCTGATGTCCAGTGGGTGTCAAAGGGCTCTATCCTGAGCTTCCTTCCATTCGACGTTTCTGTCAGTCGCTTGGGGGAAGGCATAGCTGACACCTTCGTCAAATTTGAAGGCATAGATACCAAGCTTATCAACGGCAATTCATGTGGAGGAAAAAAAAGCCTAGGCACCCTTAACTGACCACAAGCTCAATGTGAGACAGGACTGACATGTGAGGCAAGAAAAGTGATTACAAATTTAGGTTGTACGAATGTCCAGTGGCCAGAGCAAGGAAGAACCCATTGTTTGGGTCACACCCTATCTGAATATTGTGTTGAGTTCAACAGTTTAAGAAAGACATTGCTGAGCTTGACCGGAGGAAATTTCCTAGTATGGTGAGAGGGCTTTGGAGTACCTTCTCATTGTGATGAGCTGCTGGAAGGGCTGGGGGAATTTATCCTGGAGAACAGAAGAGTCAGGCACCTAGGCAACTCTTTTTCAACCATCCAGTGGGCTGTCATATGGAAGAGATGTTTGGATTCTGCCAGGGCATCAGAAGAGCAAAACTAGGCACTATGGATTTCATTCCCATCTGCTTTTTTATTCTTTTTCTACAAGGGGATCCCTTTTCTACTTTATTTCTCCATCACTGGAGGGGTTAAACAGAGCCTGGATGATTCCCTAGCAGGGAGGCCATAAAGAAGATTGCTGCCCTGGATGGGAGGTTTCTCTAGAGACTTCTTAGGTTCCTTCTAGATCTGGGATTCAAAGCGGAAGAGGATAAGGAAGGATCTTTGGTCAGAATTACTGACCCCTCAGAGATACTGGGTGCTATGGAAGATACTGAAATGAGCAAGAGCCAGCCCCTGCCCTCAGGAAGCTTCTAGTCTAGTAGGTGTTTAAGATATATACATACATACATACATACATATGTATATATATATATATATATATATATATATAAATATAAATATATATACAGTTAACTACATAAGGCAGAATGGAATAAGAGACCTGAAAAGACAGGACAAGAGGAGGTAGATTAGAAGGAGAGGAACATAGATGAGGGAACTCTCACTGTAGGATACCTCTAGGACACATAGATACCTGGGACCCCAAGATCAGTCTCACTGTGTATCAGCACAGGGTGTGAGAGGCAATAGGTGACAAAGATGTTTCACACCTAGATTCCTTGCTAACAATGCCAGTGGCAGCTTAAACCATTGGAGTTCTCTATATTCTCAGAGATGAAGTTCATTACTATCACTGACTGAGTCTGATACCCTGGGCTCTGTCCCAGCAGCATGCCTTTCAGCTCCAAGGTGCCCCTGCTCCAGGGCAAGTCCATGTACTACTCTTGGGTCCCTGAGAACCTCCTCTTGACTGTGTTCCTCTCTATCCATCAGGGTCAGTGTTAAAGACTCATTTTCAAGTCCCTCTCATTTTATATATGGGGAAACTGAGGGCTAGAGAGGGGAAGGGATATTTCAAAAGTCATAAAGGGAATTAATGGCAGAACTGGGACCTTTCTGATTTCTCACGACATTCTTATGGAGTAAGTTAAGTCTTGTCTCCATTTAGCAGGTAGGGAAGCTTTGGCCCAGAGAGGGGCCAGCTAGGTGGTGTAGTGGATAGAATGCTGGGGAGTCAAGAAGATCTGAGTTCAAATGATGCTTTGCACACTTACTAGCTGTGGCCCTGGGCAAGTTGCTTAACCTCTTTCTGATTCAGTTTCCTTGGCTGTAAAATACCGCTTAGTGGTGGAGTTGTTTTGAAACTTGGGTTTCCTGACTATAAAATGCTGTACTTTCCACTGACCTGTGCCTCTTCACTCTCCCTGTATCTCTTCTTGTCCCTTTTTCTCTCTCTGATTCCTCGGACTGTTCTTAGGGCTGAAGTGAGAATAGGCTGGAGGAGATGGGGTTGGGGACCAGGCTATAAGGCAGAACCAGGCACTAGACATGGATTAAGGCTGAAATAAAACCACAATTCACCCTTTTGTGTTTAGAATAAAAGAAGTGGCCCTAGAACAGTCCTG